GGGGGGGGGGGGTTGTTTGTGTTTTGGTAACTGGGACAAGTCTCATGGCCACAGGGCTGGCCACGATGCCCCCTAGTAGCCCAGTAGCTCCTGTCCAGCTCAGACTCTAATGCCGCTCTCCCTAGATTGCTTGCCCACCACGCCTTGTTGATTTAGGGAGGCTGTCAGCAGCCTTAGAGTGAGTCTTACTCCTAATAATTTCCCACTGGGTCTCAATCCAATCCTCAGGCCTGATAGGTCCCTCTCAGCCTGACTAGCTCTGTCTAGAGCACCTGTAGCCTTATGGGCAAACTGTGTGGCTCTTTTTCCTCCCCTGCACCACACCCCAAGCCTTGCAGATGTTACTGTATTGTTGTTCACTTGTTGAGCTTTGGCCTTCTCAGCCTCCGCCCCTTTCCTCTCAGCTACGCCCTTTAGCCTGGGCCCACTGTGTTGGACCTGGCTTTGGGGCACTAGCTTTAGTTTGTCCCTTCTGATCCCCGGGTCCCTGGGGCCTGTCTGCTGGGCCCCTCACCTCCATCTCTCTGTGCCCCTCTGGCGCTGGTTCCCTGGCCCCTGTCTTGCTGCACCCCTCTTGGGTGGCAGGCCCGTCTGGCCTTGTGGCCCTAATGTAGCACTGTGCCCACTACAGGCTCAACAATCACTCGTAACTGCACCCTTGTCAGGTGCCGGGCTCCTGGCCCCTGTGTGGCTTTGCAGCCTCTGTCCCTCTCTGGACTCAACATTAGCTCAAGCCTGGAAAGGCTCAAGGCAATCATGTGCCCTTCAGGTACTAATGAAATTGCCACAAACCACCCCTTACAGTCTCAACCCAAACCAATACACTGATCACGGATACAAACAGTAACTTAAACCATAAGCCCCCAGGCTATAACACAAACACAAACAACAGCAGAAGCAGCCCTCTCCTGCTTTAAGAGGGCACACTTTCCTCATCTCCCAGTGGACATACCTTCCAGCCACGGGTTATACCCTAGGCCATACACTCAACCCCCTTGGGCTTTTGGACTCACTGCTCCCACACACAGCCCCTTTTTCAAGGCTCTCAGACTCTTGGGACCTGGCTCAGGCCTTCCCTGAGCACAGGGACCCTCTGGTAGGCACCTCAAACCCTCTAGGGGTTAACATAAAACAAAGCAGTCCCTTCCAGCCCTAATGTCTATGAAATCTATGAAAAGGCCTCTTGCCTGTAAACCCAGTCTTTCTCTGCCCTGGGAACTTGCCTCTGTTCCCAGGCCTGCAGAGCTGTTTAGCTCAAACCAGGTCCCTGCAGAAGCCCTGCTGCCCTGCAGCCAGGAGCTCCTCACGTTGTGGTTGCCAGGGAGAGACTGCCTGTCTGGTTCAGACTCTGAGCTTGTACAGCTCCAGCTTGAGCCCTCTTCTAGTTAGGTGAGTCCCTCTTTAGCTTCCCTCTGCCACCTGCAAGCAGCCTCAGGCTGCTTGCTCTCAAAGAAGCAGGCACCACATCCCAGTGCCCTGCTACAGTAATAACTTTGTATGTCTTGGTTTATACTGCCTGTGAGAATGGGGATTTGTCTGTGTGGGATACCCCAGTCAAATTCAGTGTTCCTAGATTTTTTGGTGGGAGCTCAAGCTATGGGCTTAATTCACTGGAACCCTGGAATGTAAACCTGGCCCTTTCTGCTGCTGGCCTGTGTCTGGCAGAAGGGTTACACATGAAAACAACATACATACGTATTTTCAGAATTGAGGCTTGATTAGGTCTGGATATTGTCTTTCCTCAGCATTTGCCATAATAGCCCAAGGAATAGATATGACAGAACCGCAAAAGATACTGAGTACCGACATGGAACTCATTGCTGACTACCTCTGTAAGTGGTGCTTCAAGTTGAGCATCAATAAATCAGTATCATTATTCTTCCACTTGGACAATCGTCAAGCCAAGAGCATGCTGAATATCGGAGTAGATAACAACTTCTTTCCTCATGAGCACACCCTAAGTCCCTCACCTATAATTATTACATTCAGAAGGTTAGCAGTAAAGTCTCTGCATGAGCAGCTGCCTTAAGATGTTTAGGCAGAACAACATGGGGTGCCAACTTTTAAGTGTTCAGAACCACTGCACTTGCAATGGTATACATCCCAGCAGAATACTGTGCTTGTGCATGGTCCAGAAGTTGTCACACTAAAAAGACTAATACTGCGCAGTGAGACTCATAATAATAGACTACTCAGCCTACACACACACAGATGTACTCCCTGTACTCTCCGGCATCAGATGACCCTAACATCATTACTGGAAATGGAGGCAAGAGATGATGAAAGTTACCCGCTCGATCAACTGTTAACTGAAGACCAGAACAGATGGAGGCTTAAAAGACTTAAAAGTTGTAGACCACTTATACATGAAGCCCACAAGCTCCTAGAAGAGACTGGAGATGCTGAACCAAACCTATGACCAGCAATGGAGTGGGCTGACCCCCAGGAAAGGTCACACCTATTCCTACGGTATTTTATATCAACACCAAACGAGTCATGCTTGACAAAAAAGCATGGGTCAAGCTGAACAGACTGAGATCTGAATGTGGATATTTCAAAACAACACTTGACAAGATGAAAGTCTTTGACAGCCCCCTTTGTGAATGTAGTGTCCAACAAACAGCACAGCACTTAATCAAAAGTCACAATCTTCCAAATGCTCAGACGGGGCAAATGAAATCTGCACATTTAGCAATAATGTGCTTATCCAACTCACAGATTTGAAAGTTGATGTTGGATGCCATACAAAAGAGAAAGAAAAAAAAAATTAGATGTTCTTCAGATATTTCAGCTATGTTAGTTTTCACATTTTTCCATTTCTCATACTCAGTTTTAGAGAAGAGCACTCATAGCAATAATAATCAGATTTTCTTTAAAACATGACATTTGGTGGTCCACAATACATACTGCACACTTCATTTTTGGGTTTCATTAATGTGGACTAATTGTTCCATTAAATCACCACAAAGGATAGTTAATAAATATTATTGCTTTCAAAGACCTGAGTTCAATCTGGGGTCATGTACCACAATGGCAATAAACAATGACTATCTAAATCCCAATGTACTCTTTAGGCCACTTAAACGCTTCCCTTTTGTGGGTAGAGGAAAATCATATGGTAGGGAAATTTAACTAGCCAGGAAACTAGCAGACCAAGACCATGAATGATGATCCAACTTTGTGGTATTCTACCATGGATTTGCTGCTGCATACTGTTACCATTAAGTGTCACTGTGGGTAAAAAAGGACACCAAGGAACCTATTAAAAAAAGGAAGGGAAGTATGAGGGAGGGAGGTGAGCATAAGAGAAATTAGTACAGCAAGGCAAAAATAAAACGGCCTGCACTGAAGTAATTCTGAATGGTTCTTTATGACTCTTGCTAACTTCTGCAATTATATTAACCACAAAGTCTTGAAAAATAAACATGCAGGGTTGCAAAAAATACCGTTCCTGGATTAATCTCTGATTTTTGTTCAGTGTTCCAGGTTTGTCTGTCTTTTCTCTTAAGTCACATTACTTGTCATATTACTAACTACAAAGAACCATTAAGAATATGGATTTTATGTTCAAGATATTGGTTCTTTAAAGCAAAGAAGAGAGGTACCAAAAGATAGAGATTTTGTTTTTAGGAAATACCATACTTATTAGAATACAAGACAAGGTTTTTTCCTCAATCAGAATGGGAAACAAAGCCCCTCAGCTTACATTTGCATACAAATAAACCTCATTAAATATACTGTCTATCATTAAACTTCTGCCAAAAGCAGCATGTCCTCAGTAATAGAAACCAACTCATCATCTATGGCAATCCCTCGCAGTTGAGGATAATTGTCTTCCATTATTGTCTTATCTGTGGGTCCAAAGATGGCTGATGAGGCCCATACAGGATTGACAGATTCTGTTGCAGCTCAGGCACAAGTTTCCATACAGAGTGGGTGGCTCTGGGTTTTTTGGTTTGGTCCACAACACGCTGTTTCTGCTACTCCTGTTTTTCTATCCGTTGTTG